AACAAGCTGGAAAAAAATAGAAAATGGGGAAAAGTCACTTTAATTAGCACACTTTCTGCCTTTTAAAAAGTATTCATTCTCTGCTGGGATCTGAAACTCCCCTGAGATGTATAACTGGTGTATAAGAAGATCTTAGTTGAATTGAACGACCTAGACAGGCACAACTCTGCTATTTTACCTTCACCCAGCATTCACTGGATGAATTTCTTTGCCACGGTACTAAAGTAGGGAACCTGGAGTTTAGAATTCTGATATCTAGTCCAAACTCATTCCTGAGCTTGACAAATAAATTAACCTATATTTTCTCCTTATTTGTAAGGTGAAAATTGCATTTGCTTGTAATATTTTGACATTCCTGTATAAAAGGATAATATTTGGGCTTGTTACAGAAAAAAATATGAATAGCTCATTTGAAAATGGATCATTTAAAATGTTATTTATTGTCTATTGATAAGGAGTTTAGCCTTAAATTTTTTCTTTTGTATGCCAAATACATTTCAGTGTCTAGACTTTATTAGCATTTAAAAGCTTTAGGTAGGTTGGCAATAATAACAGTAAAAATAATTAACATTTGTGAGAGCTCATATGTACTGGTCTTACTCAGTTTAGTTATTTTGGAGGCACGCATTTTTTCCATTAACTAAGATCACAGCACTGCAGAAATGTGTTAATTTATGAGTTTAAGTATTCTGATGAATTTCCCACATGCCTGAATAGACAAAAGATTGCCAAAATATTAATAATTGTTGAGACTGGGTAATACACAGAGCTTTGTTATACTATTCTACTTTTGTGTGGAAAATTTCCATGGTAAAAAGTGAAAAACACAAACTCAAGCAACTCTTCCCAAGATCATCTATCCTGCTTATGTTCCTTTTTCCCCCCATTTCCAGCTCAGCATGACAGCTGGCCCTGCATGTGGACACAGGCCTCTCCATTTGGGGAGGGAAAGATTGGTGGCACTTACACTGGCCTGCCCCCATCCCCCATCCTTCTTGATGAACTCAGGAAGTTTCTCTTCTCATTTTTATCTCTGTCATACACACGTGAATCTGCATAGAGACATTCATGTCTTTTTGGTGGCACATTCAGGAGAAGGCACTGTAAGGGACACCTGCTTTTTTCATCTGCCCAAATCCCTTCCTACCCTCCTTTGGGAAAAGCAGCCCCTTTTCTGTGATGAACAAATCCTCCCTGACTCCATGAAGTTCTGGTGGGGCTGCTACTCAGAGTATCCCACCTTCCTGGCTATAGGGGTGAATATAAAGTCAGAGCCTGGCCACATATATACTCTTTGTTGCCAATCAGTTATTGACCTATGGATGGACACGTGACTTGAACCAGGTCTGTCTGAATCCTTTCAATCCTATTTACAGATGGTAAAAGCAAGAGGGCCTCTCTACCCCTGGGATCATTAGCTGAGATGACTGAAGCTGGATCTGTCCCTGGTTATGCTCCACTCTCCACTAGCCTGTAGAGGACGCTCATGGGTAATGGGAGAGAATAGGATCAAACCCTTGAAAAAAGCTGAGAGAAAGAGTAGGAGCAAACATGAGAAAGAGTGTGAGAGAAATGATGACTGAATTCCTGGATCCAGTTATGACGGAAGCCCTTATCCTTTCTCCTATCTTAAGGTAGGAGTCAGTACACTGCCTTTTCCTCTCAAGCTAGTTTGACTTGGGGTTTTTATCTGGAAGTCTTGAACAGTACAGGATGCAGAGCTATAAGGACAGCTACTGCTCTGTATTTCAGGAGTACTATCTCTACTCCAGCCAAGACTAAAGCAGTGCCTGGTACATGGCAAGTACTTAAGAAATAGATGTTGAAAGAGCGATAACAACTCCTAGGTAACTGTTAAATTCTCTGGTCATTCTCTTGATTTCTTGGTGCATTGATTAAAATAGGGATAATAGTCATGTCCTTCACTCCCTTACTTCATGCATGTAACTTAAAGATGACTGCTGGTTAAATTTGACTCTCTAAAATATAGCTATTTTTGCAGCTGTAAGCACGATTTTTGTACAGCTAGAAAAAGCTATTTCCAATGCAGATTTCTAGTGCAGTTTTCTAAGAAAGCCTTTACGATATGCAGCACACCAGGCCCACCATGAGGCACATCAATCATCTTACCATGTATCAGGCACCTTTTACAGGATTTTCTGTGATCTTGGTGTCAGGGCACATTCTGTATCAAGGCAGAGGTGATATGTAGAGATCTGGCAGCTATTTAGAAAGGAGGCCAGGCAGTGCTGTGCCAGTATAATTAATGAGAGTCATCGCTCTGGAAGCGAGAGGAGAGTGGGGGTTGGGAAGGATGTCTTTCACCAGTCAATGGCATTTAAGAAAAATTGGTGCTTTCATAGCCCTTTTACTGTTGGGAGGAGGTTAAGTCAAAGGACTGCTGGAAAGGGCTTTCTGTAGCTCGCTGCATGGATGGAGGTCCTTGTGTATAGGGAAGCAAGGAGGATTCAACCCCAGACTTTTCAGCAGGGCGGTTTTCAACCTTGAATTGCGCTACCCGTAGGAGTCCCTTACACTTGGAAATCCTTACTAAAAGATTTTAGCTTACGTGACCAAGAGACCATTCAAAAAAGGTACTTTATTACCATATAGGGCTTTTGTTTTACTTGCCCAAAGAAGTATTAACTGAGGTCCCATTTTCTCCAATTCGCTTGTAACCAGCGAAGGAAGAAGGGGGTATTATTTGTTTTGTTTTCCTATTGACTGTTTGGTAACCATGGAAGGGTCTGTGTAACCTAGAGAGGCTGTTTACTACCCGCTGTCTAACCCCTTTCTTATTGTTCCCTCTGATTGTCACAAGCTGGGAAAAATTGTTCTGTCCTGCATCTAAAGATTTAGCAATGTAACAATATTTTCTTGGTTTTGGTTGGTAATTTTTCTCTGATTAATGGTGAAAAAAAGAGATTCAGAGGGAAAAGCTACAGTTAAGATTTATAGATATATACACTTAAGACCCTGATTAAGTATGATTCACACCAACTTCAGCATAGTTGCCTTTGGGGAGAAGGGCCCGGAGATACTGTTTTTAGCTGTATCTGTGATGCTTTATTTAAAAAAAGAAGGGGCGGGGGAGCATGTTTATTATATGGGTGTTTGCCTTGTTTTTGGTAGGTTTGAAATATTGCATGATTTAAAAAATGTGAAGTTCTCAAAATTAGGGAACTTTATTAAAACCATCAAAATAAAGAATGCATAGCAAACAAGTGCGCTTGTTATGAACTTTGTATCTGAGTTTATTTCACCATGGGCATCTGCAGTTTTTCACGTATGAGAGACAAACACAGGAGGTTGGCGGGAGTGGTGGTGGATAACTTCCATGATTGCCTTAGTGGTGGTCTTGGTATCTTTCTCTTCTTTTTTTTTTTTTTTGCCAGGGAGGGGGGTACTTTCTAGTCACCATGGAGATTACCAGCCAAACAAATCTCTAAAAAGCAATCTAGGGGTAGAAGGTTATCTGTTTTATTTCTTATAAATTGGGGATTTGCTGCGCGGTAAGAAAATTTGTGAAGGTTTCCTTCCATGGAGCCAAAGGACCTTCCTTATACATCTTTTCCCAAACTGATTTCTTCCTGGTACCCTGGCAGGAAGGAATCCAAAACTCTTCTGGTGGCTTTTTTCCTTTTTTTCTGGGAGTCCAGGACTGCTTTCTGGATAAAGTTTCTTCTTGCCCATGGTGCTTTGCTGTAACATTGTAATTGCCTCTGTTGAATTGAATAATACAAATGAGTTGTTTCTATGGTATCGGCGAAGTGGGATGAAAAGGTGAAACCCTAGATCTCGCGCTGAGAGGTCACGGTGCTACCCCCCCACCCCACACCAACTGTCCATCAAAGCTGACGGGCAGCCAGGCCGGGTTCTCGGAGCCCCAACACTCATTTGTAACTTCCTGAGCAAATTCACGCTTGAAAAAGAAAATGACTTTAGTTTATGTTGTCACTAAGCCCAGAAAAATCCCTGCCAACTCCAAGCTGCCAGCTTTTCTAGGACCTTCTTATTGGTGGAGAATTTTAAACTGAAGGTGAGTGAGGAGCAGCGTCTCCCAGTCCCTCCCAGCCAGGCTTTGAACTAACAATAGGGCAGGTTGAATGAAGGCTGATAAATGCAAATCCTGGAATCCCGAAGCCGGATCACACCGCTGCTGCCTGGGCCAGCGGTTGTCCGCGTTCCAGCAGCCGCACCAACTTGGTCACTCACCACGTTAGGACGCTGACTAGATTTCATCGTTTCAGCATCATTTGAGTGCCAACTGTGTGCAAGCTTTCCTCTGCCAGGGCCGTGACTCCACGTCATCGCACGGTGGCCGCTTGAGTCCACCTGCCACCAACTTATCTGATTGAATGGCCTGTTAATGCTTAGGAGAAGCACCTGGAGAAAGACGGGGCGGGGGGTGGATGGGGGAGGGGGAAGAATAAAAGCAGAGTGTTAAATACCTCCCCCTTTCTCAGTGTTAGCTGCACTCTACTCGAAGCAGATCTTCATTGGTTTTAACAGCATAATAGATGCTATTTTCTTAGAATGCTAAAAAACAGGAGGCGAAATAAGATGGGCAGTTCAAAATTTCCTTTAAGATGTGGTTCTGGAACTTTTTACTTTGGGGCAAACTGCACACAATCTCTGCGCCCTTCCTCTCCAACTTTGTTTTGCCAAACTCCTTTACCTCTCCACCACAGACGCTCTCTGGAGCACAGCCCCAAACTGAGTATCAAGGGGGTTTCCCTGAGTTTGGGAACCTTTGAAACTTGAGCGAGGGGGCGGGTGGAGGGAGACTTCATTCCCAGTGCTTCTGGCCCTTGCCTGCCCTCTGAGGAGGTGTAGGCGCAGAGCTCGGCCCCCGACACCCAGTGGAAGGTGGCGGGAACTCCAGTCCACTCTCCCCAGCTCCAGTTCCTGATTTCCGAGGGAGCTGCGGGGCTGGGAGGGAGGGGGCTCCAGAGTGAGCGTGAGGATTTGAATGAGAAAGCAGGTTGTGGCGGTGGCGCCCCACTCTGCCCAGCCTGTCTCGGGGTTTTCTGCAGGCTGGTGTGGAGAAGTGCTCCTCTGGGGGGCTTTTCTGCCCCTCGACACGGTTTTGGAGTTGGAGTATCAGGAGCTAATAACTCATCACGCCGGCACTTTGGAGGCTGCCCCTCTGTCCGGGACTCTGAGGAATACTTCATCTGCGAACGCTCAAAGTTGAACAGGTCAGTGATTTTGGGGGACTGAGGAGGAACGGGAAAGAAAGAGAGGACTGGTACAGCAGTCCAGGTGTTTCCGGCCGGCACACGCTCTCGAGTGGTGGTGTGAGTAGGAATTCCCCAAACCCCTGTGCGGAGAACTGGACCACGGCTGGTCTTGGGGTACCGTAATTCTAAAGGATGTGGATGTGTGAGCCCGCGCCAGAATTTAATCCTCGAGTCTCTTTTGGTGAGTGGGGTTTGCGCCCCGTGTAGGGTAAAGCATGGCTCTCTGCAGGAGGCTCCCCTCCCACACGGGACCCCCGGGACTGGTTTCTGACCGCCAGACACCGCAGAGAGAGCACGTCCTCTTTTCCCAGCAAGGGGAGTGCGGTGTCCATTACACTTGCAGTCTCACGGTTCTTCCTGCGCCCGGTGACCCCACTCAGGAACCTCTCAGGGAGAGAAGACCAGGTGCTCTCAGTTCGAGGAGGATTTACTCCATTGCCCTTTCCTGGAATAAACGAGGAGCACCGGAGCGGCGCGAGGGGGTGGGGGCAAGTCCCGGCCATTTGGCGGCGCGCTCCGCGCCTGCGCGGGGTTCCCATGGCGACGGCGCCGCGAGTCTGAGACGCCGCCCGGAGTGCCCCCGAAGCCTTGTTCCCAGTTGAGCGTCTGTGGCGCGTATCCCCCGCTCCCCCAGACATTTTCTTTGTTTGTAACTCGGAATAAGTTCATGATCTCATTTTGAAATTAGGAGTTCAGCATTAAAATAGTAACCAACTAAAATTTTAAAGACCTCTCCCACCTCCCACACAATACCACTTTGATCATAGACGAAGGTGAGAAATTGCTTTTGGGGGTAGCATTTGAGATTTTTTCCTCCCTCTTCTAGCCCATGAAAGTGGGGACGAATAAAATATATTTACTTCCTGGTGAGGCCGTTAAAAAGAATTCAGCCAGGTGCTGGCTCTTGAGCATTAAGGGGACAGACCTGTGCCGCCTTACCGCAGGTGAAAAGCCGGGCGTGTACAAACTGGCAACACCTGTGTCCTCCTTTTGGCTTGTTAATGAAAACGAGATGCGCTCCAAAATGGACCAAAGTAAAATGCCAATGAAAAAAACAAAGGCTTTCCCAGAAGAAGTGATTGTTTTTCCAGTTGCGACGGCGTTTTGATCACTTAGGGGATTAATCTTCTGCAGGGAATGTCTCAAGAAACCGTAACAGGAGCTAGTCAGATTCCTCAAGCTTTCTGTTGAGTCATTTTCCTTTTCTTAAAATTGTGTCTGGACAGCTCTATCCCCCTTTTAAAATCCCATTTGTTTACGCACAGGTTAGCATTTGGCAAGGATGCACAACTCAAGGGGTATGTAGAAGGAGCTGTGGCTTCTTTGCTCGCTTTTTCTTAGGGTGTATCAATATTTGGCAGCACGATTGGTACACCTCGTTGCTGTTAAATAAATATTGGTTAAAATTAATGTAACTGCTAGTGAAAGTTTAAAACGGAGTTATTCTTCCTGGGATAAAGTGTGGCATAAAAATAGATAAAGTAATATGTGAGTACTGTCTTGCAGTATCCTATTTTTAAATAATTTGCCTTCAAGTACAGTAAATGTTGATTAGTGGTAATTTTCAGACAATATCCTTCCACCATCAGCAAATGAGGTCAACATAATATTACTTTCCAGATGATTAGTAAATAACATGCTGTTAAAGTTCTCTCTCCCATCCCATTCATTATAAAAGCCGAGACATTATGCAATCCATCTAGCTGAAATGTTTAAAAATGGCCAATTAAGGTTTTTTCTTTTTTCATAAATAAAAAAATAGAAAAACTTAATTTTCAGGTTCAGATACTTTGTGACCCTACTTGGTGGCTTGTAACTGGCTCCAATTCCCTAATTCTCAGTGACATGTGTTTCTGCTGGTTCCAGGAGGTAAACTGCAGTTTAGCAGATCATGGGATAATGAGATTGGCAGTGCTTGGGGGAAGGCTGGGGAGAGGCAGTGGGATGAGACAAAGGGAGGGAAGGTTGATGGGCAGAGCCAGGATTTATAGCTCCACCGGATTTCTTCATAAAAGCTGCTGCAGTCATTGCTTCTGTTTGATACATTTTCTCACATGAACATCAGTGAAACTTATTTTTAGGATCAAGCTTCTCAATAACTATAAGGGTAGAATTATAAAAATAGAATAGGTAAAGTTAGTTTATGTTAGGGTACTATACTGGGAAAATGCTTACATGTTTTCTTCTTAATTTATTCATTTAGTCAATAAATACATGTTGAAAACTAGTTATATATAAGACCTAAAGAAATCTAGATTTCTGCCCTCAATGAACCAAGCGTTGTGAGTTCTGAAATAATTCTAGTTCTGTTTCAGGTTTTCAGGGTAAAGATAATATCTGTGGTTCTCTTAAGGAAAGCAGTTGATGAAGTGCCAGGCACTCAGACATCTAGATTCAGGAACAAATTGCTTAAACTTTGATTTTAAAAACCCTGAACGTTGTTTTTAAGCATTTTAGATAAGATTCTCTATATATGCTAAGAAGCATTGTGGCAGATATTTTCTTACATTTTCATAGTAGAGAGTCAGCCCTAAAACCTGCAGTCTTGGAAGTACAGCTCTGAGTTGGGGAGGAACAGAAACCCTTGAATTCTCAGGTTTCTTAGATGAAGATAAGGTGAGTGATTCAGTAGTCCTTTGTTCTGGCTCCGTGTTTCATGACATCATAAACCTCCTGCAGCTCCCTTCAAAGAATAGTGTCGGTCTGCACGCTTGAGGGATCATGACTATAATTTCTCTGAGCAAAAAAGAAAAGGGAGTGGGGATATAAAATTATGATAGTTGGATAAAAAGAATACAGTAGGGTATTTAAACATTTTAACTTTTGAGCTGGAATAATTTCTCAGCGTTTTTCGTAAGTTTAGACTCTATTGAAATCCATTACAGCCGTGACAAACCCCTGGCATAATATTGACCAAGGTAGAGAAACGTTTCCTCTTGTCATTCCTAGGACACAGTTAAGACACAGCAGATTAGGGAGAACGAAGCCTCCTTTCCTTCACCACCTCATGAGTCTACTTAAAATTATCAGCTGGGAGAAGCTTGCTGAAGAGCATCCCAATTTGGTTATTGCTCTTTGTCTCGGAAAATCCGACTCAGCTGTGAATTGTGGCCCAAGTGGTGCAGAACTCATTACTTCGAACAATGCCTCCTCGGCCTGGGAAGCATGTTCTGTCTCCTCACTAGCAGGGGCTTATCCCAGGCTGGCTTTGCTCACAAGGAAAATCATTTAGACACAGTTCACTGGACACTCACTCACATCCCTTTGACACCCGTGACCATTTTTGTTTAAGGAGAAATCCAGCACCGCTGTGGTCGGTGTGCCGAATTAGAAGTGCATTTTAAGAAGCCCGTGAAGAAGTTTACACAGCTTTGTGTTATTATCATCAAGGTCTCTGTCTTGTGTGCTTCAAAGGAAAGAGGGCAGGATGGATAAGGAAGGGACAACTAAGAAAACTTTTATAGCAAAGTTGAAAAAAAAATTCTCACCAAGTCTGCATTTTCAATGCACTTAACGCTTATGCCTCATTAAATCTCATAAAATTACAGAGCAGGAAAATACCCCTACCATGTACCTTACATAAATCAGGAAACCAGGGCCCAAGGTTGCTAAATGATTTTCTTAAAGTCACACAGCTAATAAATGAAAGAACTGGGATGAACATATTCTAATTTCGAATGATCCTGCTGCTTCCAAGAAGTCTAGGGAGGGCAGACGTGAAACCCTTGCTCTAGATTTTGGTATCTGTAATGATGGGAAATTCCTAGAGTTGTAATTATAAAATGGTTAAACATCAGCAATGTTTCATGGCTTAATCTAATTTCCCTGAGTAGAATTGACAGTAGGCCTCTCCTGATGAGATATTTGGTTATACGCACCTGTATATCATGGGAACATACATGGTTCCTATGCATAACTGCAAAAGAGATCTCTTTCAGTTTGTATTTTGGCCTGAGGAATTCTGCCATGATTAGGATTTAATACAAGGCAGAACAGCTTTTCTGGTTACTGTCCAGTAAATATCTTAAACAAGGGGTTCTGGAAGAAAAGAAGGATATGAACAGTAATATATTCCAACCATGGGTGTGGGCATTTACTTTAGGTTTATTTAAAACTCATAATAATCAAGAGATTCAGGAATTATAATCCCATGTTCCTAGAGATTAGTTTCTTGCCCAAGATCTAAGTGAGGATGGAATTGTCTTGGAATTTGAGCTGTCTGCCTCGTCCATGCTCTATTACAACATGTTCCCACTCAGAAAAGCAAAGCTAAATTTATAGAAAACATTGAGCTGGTTTTCTTTTCAAATTCACCATGCCATTCAAAATACAGACATTTGGAAGTTGTTCTGATTAGATTTTCGGTGAGTGGAGAAGCTGTGTTCCCTAGATGTAGTTGAGGAGGTTATAAATTCAGGCCTGGTTCCAGAAAAACATTCAAGACTTTGTTTATAAACTGTGTTGGCTATTTGTTTAGAAGTGAGTGGTGTTTAGATTCTCTTCTGCAAATGCTTTTCCACATCAAAGTGGCCCACTTATCACTTGGAGTTTGTTGTCAAATAGCCCTGGGTTTAAGGACCCCTCATGATTTTAATGTGTGTTTTCTGGTATCCCAAGACTTAAATATTGATTTGATCTAATATAAACTTTGCTCACTTACTTTTCTTGAAATAGAATGACTTACTGCTGGGTAGAGTCAGATGGTGTCTTTCTGTAATGTTGGACAGTTGCTGAAAATTTCTAAACCTAGGCCAGAAGCTGGAGCTCTGGTGCTCTCACAACTGCTCTAGCCATGGTGTTGAGACTCCTGAGCTGGTTCCAGATTTGCAGTAAATTTGAGCTAGTTTACCCATGAAGAAACAGAGTCTCAGAAATATTTACACTCACACAGCCAAGTTGGGACTTGAACCTTGCCGTTGCCAGCAGACATGGTCTAGTGACCTTATTAGCACACCACG